TAGCCCCATATGGCAGCTGACAGTTGTCATTAACTCCAGTTCCAGAGGATTTGATGTCCTCTTCCTGCCTTTGTGGGCATTGTAGGCACAGGTGCACTTACATGCAGATAACCCACATATACATAAAAAAATAAAAAAATTTAAAAATTTAATTAAATAAAAATGACAAGAATAACCCTGGCTTTTGATATGTATATTATCATGAGCGTTTTAGCTGCTTTTATTTCAAGATGTTCTCCCATTTTACAACTACTAGCCTTTGCTGACTTCATGTTTGTCTTCCCATAGAGCATATGTGTATATATATGTCCTTTTAGTGATTTACAGTTGTCTGTAATGATATTTTTTTCAAAAATTTTATTTATTATTTTTATTTTATGTGTCTGAGTGTATTGCCTGCATGTAGGTAAGTGCACCCATGTTGTGCAATGCCTGTGGAGGACAGAAGAGGCCATCGGATCCCCTGGAACTGGAGTTATGGACAGTTGTCAGCTGCCATGTGGTTGCTGGGATTCAAACCCAGGCCTTCTGCAAGAACAGCCAGTGTTCTTACCACTGAGCCATCTCTCCAGCCCCTTAATCATACATATTTAAAATTAAAGCTGGGAGGGGGCTGGAAAAATGGCTCAGTGGTTAAGAATGCTTAACTAGAGGACTCAAGTTTGGTTCGCAGCATCAACATACTGGCTCACAATCTCCTGTAATTCCAGGAGATCCAACTCCATCTTCTGGCCTCTGTGGGGCACCTGCACACATGTGGCATGTATTCACATAGATACACACACACACACACACACACACACACACACACACACACACACACACAAAATAAAAAAGCTAGGAGTGGTAGTGGTGCATGCCTGTAATCCCAACTTGTTTTTGGTCTTTTAGAGACAGGGTCTCCCTGTAGCCACAGTAGCCACAGCTGTTTTGGAACTCGATATGGAGATCAGGCTGGCCTCACAGAGATCTGCCTGCCTCTGCCTCCCAAGTGCTGGGGTTAAAGGTGTGTACCACCATGCCTGCCTTGTGATCCCAATTTTTGAGAGTTGGAGGCAGGAAGATGAGTTCAAGGTCATCCTTGGATACATAACTATTTTGAGGCCATTCTGGGTCATATGAGACCCTGTCTCAAACAAACAAAACAAAACAAAAGGTATACTTTTTCAAGTTTTGATGTATACACATCTGTGTCCGTCATTGCAATGGACATGTTGATCATCCTCCAAATCTTCCCATGCTGGTGAGGTGGCACAGCTGATAGAGGCGCTTGCTGCCAAGTCTGGTGACCCAGGACAGACCTGGTAGGAGAGAACTGACTCCTGCAAGTTGTCCTCCCCCCCAAATAAAGAAATAAATGTAAAAAA